CTCAAGGTTGACTCAGCCTTCCATCCTTCCGAGGAGGGTAAAATGAGGACCCGGATTGTTGGGGGACAATATGCTGACTCTGTAAACTGCTTAGAGAGGGCTGAAAGCCCTATGAAGTGGTATATAAGTCTAACTGCTATTGCTATACTGGTAAACATTATATATACATCACAAAAATAACAAACAATTTAAAGAGTTTAAAAGAAGAAAAGAGAATGAATAGAAAATTGTAAATATGTCATGAAAATACAATTTTATTGGGTGATGCTAATAGCCTCATTCTTGTGGCAGCAAGACAAAATTTGGCTACATTATAGGTGAGAGTGGGCTTATTTTCTGCTAAAACAATATTTATACTTATTGAATGTAAAAATAACAATATAGTATTAAACCCAGATTTGCTGGCTAGGGAATTCTGGGAGTTGAAGTCCGCCAGTCTTAAAGTTGCCAAGGTTGGAGATGCTCTAGATCACTCAAAGTTGAACTGCCTGGAGAGGTGATGTGTGAAGATGGGGAAGAACAACAAGCCAAGGAAACAATGGTCATCCACTACCCCAACCTTGAACTCCTTTCCATGAAGGATGAGACCACCCTTAACCTTGTGGCTGCAATCACCACTTTGGGAACAGCAGCAATGCACAGGAAAGCAACCTTCCTCACAACCTCCTTCCTCCAGATGTGTGGGCTTCTCCACAATTCCCAGCCAACAGCAGCAAAGGCTGAATGAGGAGGAAGGGGCCTGAAGCCCATCACACCCAAGAGGGCTCCCTATCAGGGAAGGACAGTACAGAAGATGGTCCCCGTCCTTTTAGTGCAAACACACTAACAGGGACCACCACCACAACTGGGAATCCAGTGACTTTTGCAAGATGGCTGCCCAAGAACCATCACCCTTGACCATCCTGCTGGGACATGTTGTCCAGCAACTGGGATGGGGGACTCACTTCTTCCCAACTCCAGGATCTATGTAATTCATTCTTAAGAATATTTTTTTTAAAAAATCCCATCCCACCTCAGAACATAACAAGAGGGAGTTCAGAAGTCTATTGTCCTTCCAATCCGGCTTGGTTTCCTTGAGTTCTCCTCTGTTTCTAAGCCAGCCTCTGGCTTTTCTCCCTCCAGCAAAGCCTTCTGCAGGCGGTTGGTTTTGCCAATGGCCAGCTTCGGGAGTCCACGATTCAGCCCCTCCAGCAGCACGCAAGCTTTGCAAAGCGGCTGGCTAGAGAAGTAGCCGCAACGCCGGCAGGTGCCCTGGACAGGCAAGCGTACGTCCTTACGGATAGCCAGACGCTCCCCTGAGTGCACCAAGTCAGCCACTGAGCTTGGCTGGATAGCTTCTAGGTCTTTCAGCAAGGCGCGGACGTGGCCCCGGTAGGCATTGGGGGCGTACACGCACTCGGTGCTGAAGTAGTCCAAGCCCTGGAAGTAGGCATAGAGCACGATCTCTTTTTCGTAAGCGTGCTTCAGCGGCTTGCAGCGAGGCAGGGTTCCCTCCCCGCCTGTCAGGATTTCGGCGCAGCGTTGAAGCCGGCCCACATCACCCCGCAGGAAATTCATCAAGATTGTCTCAGCCACGTCATCAGCATTATGACCTAGGAAGCGAAGAGAAGCACAACAGGTGGATGAAATGGAGTAAATAGACTTTGTGTTATCTTTGACAGGAGTCAGCTGGAAAATCAATCCTCTTCCTCAGAAACTGCCAGAAAGTTGGCTTGGGTTTACTAGCAAATCCTTGACTGATACACATAGCAATAGAGCCGAGGTGGCACAGTGGTTAGGGTGCAGTACTGCAGGCTACTTCAGCTGATTGTTATCTGCAGTTCAGCGGTTCTAATCTCACTGGCTCA